TGTCAGTTTTGCTTTCCTAATCACCAGATACAACATACTGGCAACAGATCTCACTGTTTTTCTCTATGGTGTTTGCAGAGGATAACAGTCTACTACAAAGAAGGAAAACACATAAAGGTACATAAGATCTTCAACAGCATGAAACAGACAAATAAACAACTGCTGTGTGCTGTTTCTGTATGGCACAGAGAAGGGAGTACACAGTGAAATTATGAGAGGTAATAAGAAATGTTTTTCATAATAGTTAAATTTAAGAAATGCATCAATAGAGTCTCTTGGGTTCTAAGAAAACAATTAGTTCCTGGCTCATCAGAAGCTATGAAGAAAGTGATGTATGTCCAGCCTCTGACTGAGGACATCCTGCAACTGACACGTTGCTGGCAGCTGGGAGAATATAACCAGAAGTACTACACTGCCTTGTAAGATCCTATTGCTAGGAAGAAGGGCTGTTTGGCTAAGTGGACCTTCAGTGTGACCCAGACCAGGCTCATTGTGTGAAAGGTTCTCTAACAAATATGAACTTTACATTATGAACTTTACTGTTCCCTGCCCCTCAGTAAGCTGATGAAAACTTCTATTTGAATTCTGATATGACCCTAATGTGGTAATTGTTGATCAAGATATGCCTTTATAAGGCTATTTGGTAGTTGCTTGATTTTAAAGTTATAAAGGTCTATTTTTCAGAATGTGTATTGACTGGCTGTCATTCCATTACGGTAGAATTTTGACAGGAGTAGAAATTTCATGGTCTGTCTGATCTTACAAAAGGAAAGAATTCAACTCAAAAGATCCCCTGTTTCATCTCCCTGCTTGCAGAACGCAGTAACCTGCTTTGCTTTATTCTGTAGTTAAGAAAGTTTGTATGTTATGTTCTCAATTTCTAGGGAACTGTTTTCAGAGTATATTTAACAATTTTAAATTATCAAAGCTCTTTGTGAAATTCAGTCCAAACAATTAATATTAACTTTTTCCACCTCTTGTTTGTCATTAACCATCATGAATGGTTGATCACTGTAATGTTTTATTTTACTAGTGTTCTGCTAGGAATGATCATTATTTCAGTTTGAAGAACTGAACTAAGATAATTAAGGTAGTGATAGAGAGATTTAATAAAGTTTGTATAAAAATAAGCTATTTAAAAATGCATCAGTTTGTTAGGCTCTGATTCTCCCCCATCTCTCCTTTTCTTTCATATGCACATGTTTTTGATTTTTTTTTCTTTGTCTGTAATAAGGAATTAAATTACAATTTTTGGTTATAGCTTAGTTTTAGGAAAACTGAGATTTAGCACCAAACCCGCTGAAAACATTTAACATATCATAAAGTACATAATTAGGCTGCAAAAATAGATAAAAGGAACATACTTAAGGAACTAAAAGGAACATAAAAGGAACATAAAAGAAACAAAGTCTTTTTTATGTTTGAGTATTTTGGCATGAATAGTTTGTCGTTGTTATTTCCTTACCAATTTTTGGTATGGAACCATAGTTTTTTATTTTTCTTCTTTTTTATTTTTCTTACTTTATTTACTTTTCTTACTTCCATATCTATCACGGTTCCCTTTTTCTCTCTGTAAGCCTTCAGAGATTCTGGAATAAAACTAGAATAATGTCTGAATTTCTGTAAGGAAAAGGAATTCAAATTGCTTTACGAGGGAAAAGTAGATGTAAATTACAGAAGGAAGTGATATTGTGAAGCAAAGGACTACTGCCTCTGTGAGTCCTGATACAAAAAGGAATGGCAGAAGGCTCTTGTGAATCATAGTGGAGAACAGCTTTTATGTTCTGGGTGTACTTACAGATAAACCAGTGTTTAGGAAGGACTGAATTCATTCATCCTCCTTCCATTGTCAACAATCAGAGTAGATTTGCAAGAACACTATCCCCAGGAAGGAACTTCCAATACTGTGAAACTCTTGAAAACAATGAAAGGATTTTTGAGTCAGAGCCTTACCAGAAAAGGGAAGTCAGACCTTGTGGTCTCTCCTAGTTACTTTTTACAAAGATGTAAACATTTTCTGTCTTTTCACACGTTGATGAAATGAAGATTTCAGATGAATGCCTGCAATCAAGGCCATCTAAAAGATAACAAAGAATTTTGATTTTCTAATTACAAAGAGTACAGGAGGTGGTCTGCCCTGATTAGTTCCCTCTCTATGCTTTGCCAGACTTGGTGTCTCTCAGGTGCGATGACACATAATGATTTTTGATGTTTACAAAGGTTCTTCTGTACGTTACAAAATAAAGCCTGAGGCAGGGTGAGTACAGAAAAGAAAGAACAGAAGCGTAGGTAAGATGAGAGCAGAGCAGGAGAAAAACTCACACACATCCTTTGAATAATTAATATGGATGTGCTCCTGCCTTTCTCCTTGAGGCTTCATCTGCAGAGGTGTTACAGAGCCGACTCATCAGGAAATACGAAACATGAAAGGGAAGTGAATACGCCCAGTGATGGTACTATTGAATTTGTAGTATCATTCTTGTCTAGGAAGATACTTGGGCAATGCCTTGCAGTGGCCAGAGGCACTAGGGTGCTGATCCCATAGCAGTCAGATTTCCTGGTGTCACTTCAGCTGGCTCAGCTTCATCTCTGGCAGTGTTGGTGGCAGGCAGCCCATGTATGGTGCCTCATCCTCCAGTTCCCTGGGAGAGAGAGCTGGAGCACTCAGACAGAGCTTGTGCTTCCTCTGCTTGAATTCTCCCTTTTCTGTGTAAACGTGCTGATTATTTCACTTGCAGAACTGGAAGACAGTTAATTTTTCATACATCACATGCAAATTCTTAATCCTTTTTCAAAATTCCTCTTTACTGCTGTGCAGGTATTTGGACATATTTAATTTTGGTTACATTTGATGCTGATTCCACAAAATGATAGAACATGGAAAGGTGTTCCAGCCATCAGGGATCCTTAGGCTTATCTGAAATCCCTAGGACAAAATACAGTTTGCAGTGCTGTGTTCATTTAGGATAATATTTGGAAATAATAGAGGAAAAGCTATCAGACTGACTACTGTGTCCCAAGAGACAAAATAAAAACCAATTAGCAGAATGGCGTGACTGATAACAAAATCCGACAATTTATTGTTGGATGAATAATTTGTTCGGTGTATTCTATGGGGGGAAAAAGTCAGTGTGTCAGGTTTTCTGACAGCATAATTCTGAGTTTGTTGAATTGTGCGAAGATTTTGGGTTTTTAATCTCAGCTGCTGCAGCAAATAAATGTAGTTATTCTGTGAGAAAGTTCAAATCAGGAGCAATTAATATTCCCCAGGCCTAGTTTTCCATCTGATAAGTGAAGACAAATTTAATTAGAAAGAGTGAATTTGGGAATTCTGCTGGTAGCAGATCATCTGCTTGCCTATTGCTTCATTGGAAAGTCTTGTCTCCTGCTTCTCCTCCCTTTTGAGGATGTTCTGACAGTAGTTGCTACACCTAAAGCACAGTGTGCCTCAGCTGTGTGCTTCAGGACTTTTTAATTTTACCCTGTGTTTGACTTGGTCTCCATATTAATCTTAAAATGGATGTATAAAATTAGAAACTTCAAGTGAGATGGATGAAACTGTAGCATTTTTTCATTAATACCCAAATGAGAATTTTCAAGATACTGATTTGATTGGCTCTCCTTATCTTGTGGGTAAGGGTTTTCTGGATGTGGGGCTCTTTTGTCCTTGAGCACTTAGGCTGGTGTTGATGTAGCTGTTATTGCCTTTTGCTTAGGATGTTTGCCTTTGCAGATTTCACAGCACATCCATTCTGTCTCTTTAACCCAGGGCTTTTTTTGGGCATCATCTGAACCTGATTCTGTGATCTTTAGTTTTTAATTTTTCTTTTCCCTCTCCTGCTTTTAGGGTGGATTGGTTGGTTTCTTTGTTTGTTTATTGTCACATTTCAAGGCATAGTAGGAAGGTAATTGTCTATCAGATGTATAGATTTTAGTATTGATCATATTGTCCAGTAGGTTGTCAAATTGAGTTTTAAACTCTTTAATGTTGCTTCACTGGTGGCAGCTGTTCAGAGATTTACCTTTACCATACCCCAGCTCTTGTTTTGGGGTTATTCAGCTGTGGGCATTCCTAAGAGTTTAATGAATCCCTGGTGATGAAGCAGTTTGGAAATTGTATTTTGATCTTTGAGTACCTTGTTATGTCCTGTGTAGTAGATTGTTGTATGTTATCTTTGACTGTTGCTCTAATATTGCATATTTTCCCTATGGTTGGATGCAACTGCAAATGACACTAACATTAGGGTCTGTTTTGTGGCAGAGTGAGACGTGCTGTGTGTACCTCAGACTTGTTAGGGAAAGCACCAGCCATGGCTGAGGTCCTTGCTGCAGGTATCTGTCCATAGCAGAGTCTCTAACTAGATCACCCCCAACTCAGGCCTAGAAGGAAGGAAACCCCTGTTGTCTGGGGTGCTCCTGATAGGTGACATTTCAAATCCACTGTGGGTGGATGAGTGTAATTTTGTGCTGAATCTCTCTTTCACTAACTGTAAAGACTTCTAGATCTTCTTCTTTTGTCTTCTTTCTTGCAACCCATTATTACAGTTTAAATGTTTTCTATTTTAGTTTTGAGTATACTATGGAAAACTTTTGTTTCAGCTTCTGTGTTTGTATCATGTAAATTAATACTTCTGCCTTATATTTTTATATTTTGTTACTAGCATATTGTTTTCCTCTGTTTTGGCAGAAATTTTTTGTAGTTACAAATAACTCTGATGTAACTGTACACAGTATATTTCTTCAAGTTAGTCATATAAATGGGCCTGTAAAAACATAAATTACCTTCCATTTTTAATGAAGACATATACTTTGAAGGAAGAGAACAGATAAGCATCTAAGTTAACCTGTTTTAAAGACTATATCTATTTTGTCCCATTCGTTAGTTTTCTTGACGTGATCTGCTGTATATTTAATGTTTCATTTAAAAACTTCATTGGTATTGGAACCTTTCATTGAATATTTTTTTCTAAATATTTTTCCTTTTTCTTTTCACTCTGCAGGTAGAAGAAATTGTTGATATAGGAGCATTTGCCCCAGAAGACATTCATGTTCCCAAAATCTATGTTGATCGTCTGTTACAAGGAGAGAAGTTTGAGAAAAGAATTGAGGTAAGTAGCTAAGCTTCTCAGTCATAACATATTTCAGCTTGGGGTGTATTTAAAATTTGCATGGTGTTTAGTCTAGCTACCAAGTCTTAGCACTGAAAAAATAGTGTGAGAAAGACCCATCAAGTTTTGCTAAAAACTGGAGCTTAGATAGGTACTTAGGTAGTTAGCTGGAGGCCTGAGAATTGAGCCTTCTTTCTTACACCTCAGACTCTATGGTTCAGTTCCTGAATAATTTAGGGCAATTGCCTGTAGCCCTGGAACTTTACTGCAGTTGAAAATTTAGTGGAAAATGCTAGTAAATTCTTCTTCCCTCTCTGAGTTCACATGCTGTAGATACAAGGGGAACACCTAGACAATGATCTGACTTTTTCTGCACAGCCTTTGTTGTGAGCACATAGGGCCAGTCTCAATCCCTTTGTGCTGTGCATTAAATATGTTATGTTGCAAAGGTCCTGCAAACCTTTGTTCCCTTTTCTTTAATCAGGAACTTTTCTAACTGGTGGCCTTTCTGGTCTGAATAAAAGATGTTGATAGCTATTAAAATTGCTGCAATAATACTCCACCACTGAAAACACCCAAGAAAATTTTGATTTGATGAAAATTGTTCTTTGTTGTTTCTGGGACTTTGCTGCACTCAGACTATGTCCCTATATTAATTTTAGTGATGTGACAATGCTTTTAATATGCAGTTGAAAATTCTGTATTTCTTCCATGTCTCCATAGTCTGGAGGTGGGAATTGTTCATGAGATAAGCTGGTAGAAGGGAAGAGATATGACACAAGGAGAAGAAATCTGTGAGAAAAAAAGTGCAGAAAGGAATTGTAATAATTAATCTTCTGTTATTAAAATCAAATCATAAAGTCCTAGGAAGTTGTACAAGGCCTTTTCTCTGAGCAATCTCTTTTGTGAATGTTAAGCTTAAGAAGCACTTTTTTAAATTCTGTCTGTTCATTCTGCAAAATCATATTGCGTGTTGTTGAGTAATTGACTGCAAACAGGTGTGTCAAACCTTTTTTTTTCCCCCCTCTGGTTGTGTTGGGTCAGATTGCAATTAATGGCCTGTTTTCTTCTTCTGAATGGCTGCATTATCTCCTAGAAAAGCTTTTTACCTTTTATGACAGAAATAGTTTTTCATTTATTAGACTATTGCTTCTGCTGCATCTTGGCTGCATAAGTGAATAAATATTTAGTCAATACCTACTGAATACCTAGTGAATATCTACCTAGTTATCTGCCCCCTTTCCTATGCGGTTCAGAAAAAAGGGGGAAGGGGTGAGGGAGAAAGCTACTATAAACTGCCAAGCAAAATTGTAACAGAGATTAATTTTGATTATGCAGTTTTGTAATTCTGGCAGTGGCAACTCTCACTAGGTATAGGTATGGGAAGGAAATGGCAGATTTATTTACTCTTCTGTTAAATTTTATAAATCACCTGGCTGTACACAGAAAAGCAGTGGGTATGATAAGTGGCGAGAGAAGATGAAGAATATAAGAAATAAAGAGAAGCTAGTCTGTCATAATTCTTATTGGCTTTAAATAGCAGTTCCTGCCTAATATGGCTTAGAAGTGGTCTCTCTAGCACCAGCTATAATTTCTATCCAGCCTTCTCTTTGCTGTAGAGAAATCCTCTGTAATTGTTCCTACTTTATCAATCCACAAGTGAAGCAATTCTAGGGAAAATAGCCAAGACATAAAAAGGAAGGTGATGGGAAATTCAAGAGGATTGATATTGACAGTTTGCCTGAGGAGAAAGTGACTCTGCAAAAATTCTTTTGTGGTGATGAAAAGTAACAGGATAATTTTTTTTTTAATGTGTAAATTGTAGCCTGAAGTAGGAGAAGATATGAAGACATATGGGGGTGCAGGACATGATGTTTCCCAGAGAAATTTTATATGCATAGGAGAGATGTGCAAAGAACATAATCTATGTAGACAATAATTTAAAAGAAAGATGTTACAAACTTCTTGAATGTCATGGCATTTTCACCTACATGTGATTTACAAAACATAAACTTAAGATGAGAAAATACCAGGAATCAAATTAATGGGGTATGCAAGATTATCGAGAGTTTGAAAATTTTGATTCTTGGCTCCCCAGTATCTTTAGACAAATGGCATTTGTCTGTTTCGTTCTTATAAATCTAGAATAGCTCATTGAATTGAATGAATGCAGGAAGAGAGCAGTATTTGTATTTTCAGCTGACATTTTATGAATCTATTTGGGTATCTCTGGGGTGATGAATCTCAGACTTGCTAGTATTTGCACTAGTGCTTGGTGCCTTCTTCACCACTTCTCTATGTATCAGGCTTGGCAATACAGAGAAGGAAATAATATTTTGCTCTAAGGCTGTCATTGGCAATATTTGATGACTCCATTGGCTTAGCTAAGCTTGAATGCATAAAATAAAAGCTAGTTTTTTCATAGAAGATGAATAAATAACTTTATTCTTAAACCAAGTATCTCAGTGCAATCACAAATTAAACTTTTGTGTCTTGAGAAGCAAGAATATGGATTCTGATCTTTACTTTTGATTACTTCTTATTTTGCAGCGCTTATCAATCCGAAAGCCTGAAGACTCAACAGCCAAACAAAAAAAAGGAGACAATGTGAGAGAGAGGATCATCAAACGGGCTGCATTAGAGTTTGAGGATGGCATGTATGGTATCCTTCAGCTGTGCTATAGGTTAAAGTGATTGCTGAGTAGAAAAAGAAACCCATCTGGTTTGTTTAAAACAGGTTGATTAATGTGCTCATTGTCTTTACCAGACCCTGTGATACTGTCATTTTATTAATACACAATTGAAATAGGAGGGATGCTAAGACATAAAATACAGAGTTTTTATGTCTGGTGGCTTTGTTAGCAGTTGAATGTGTTGCAATAATTTCTTGCAAAAGTTGGAAAAGAAGCTTTATTTGCACTGTTGATATTTTTGTCATATATAGGATTTGACAGAATGCAATTAGACAGTCCAAATAGCAAAATAATTCATCACAAATATGAGGTATTTAAGTAAAACCAGAAGTGCTTGTGAAGGGAACAGTTCTAATCTACTCATAGTAAAGTAGTAATTTTTTAAAATTTACTAGTTTGCAATAAGTATTTCTGCCTTAACCACATTTTTTCAGCTAATCTGGGTATTGGAATCCCACTGTTGGCCAGTAACTTCATCAGTCCAGACATAACTGTTCACTTACAGAGTGAAAATGGAGTCCTGGGTTTGGTAAGAATATATCTTGGTCAGTTATTATAGTGTTTTTATTTTGCTTTGGCTGGGTTTTATTTCCCGCCCACCTCCATCTTGATTATTATATTACTAAAAATATATATGCTATATTATGTCATCATAAAATTATCACCCTGCTGCAGAGATTTTTTCTAGGAAATGCTCATTTCATGATTATGGTGCTGCTTTGCTAAGGATGTGCTTAAGTTTCTGGACACAAAACCATCAGGAATTTGCAAGACTAAGCATTGTAAACCTTAGCAAACATAATTTTAAATAAAGCTTAAAGTGAATATCATTTTTACTGTCATATGGCTTTATGAAATTTCAGTTATGACCTTTTTCTGAAAAATGTCTGTCACTTTGATTAGGAACCAAAAGAAACCCAAATCAAACAAACCTCTCGCTTCATGATTGTTTAGTAATTCTAACATCCTTGGACAATATGTCCAACAGACCTGATATGTTACTTGATATAAACTGTGGCCTGTAATGTCAGGATTTTTTTCTGATAAAAAATTGAATTCTGATTAAAAAAGATAAAAACATGCATGTCTGCTGTGATCTAGTTTTGGTAATAAGCATTAGCAATAATATGGTAATTATTAATTGTATTTTAAAGGTATTTTATTATAAAGCTTGACATACATCTGTATTGTTGTCAGGGTCCTTATCCACTTGAAAATGAAGTAGATCCAGATCTGATTAATGCAGGTAAATACTTAAATTTAATTAATGGAAAATTAATATCCACGTTAATTTAAAATTTTTCTTTTGATACAGTATTTGAACCTAGAGACCTGTTTTATGTCATAATAAATATTAATGCGTTTGTCTTCTTAACTCTTCTTTGGGGAGAGACTCTCTTCCAGGCCCATCAGTAAATGGTTAAATCATCCTCTCCAGAAGTGAGATTGTTTTGAGCAGCATGTAAGGGAATATGGGTTTGTTTTCTTGCTGCTTTTCTTTGAGTCTTCTAGAAAATGGTTTTCAATTATTTATGCTTGGGACATGTTTTAAAACATCCTGTGTATAATGGCTTGGTTTATTCCCAGCCAGGAATATAACTCATTTGCATTCAGAGAGGGAGTGGTAGCCAAGGCAGGGGGGAAGAGCTGGGACCTGGCACCCAGGGCACTGCTGTGGGTGACTGCTTTTGCCACTGTTAGCAGGGAATGGCAATTCTCACATGCTGTTGTTGCCCAGCTGTTTTAGGGCATGTCACCTCAGAAGATGCTATTCAATGTAAAAATGTAAGTTTCTTATGATTTAGTGCATCTGTCTGGTTTTTATTTTTTCATGAAAAAGTTGTGCCTGTGTACATTTTCTGTCTCCATGTAAAAATACACTTAAATATTGCATTGTGACAAACAGAAGTAGACCTTTTGACTTTGTTGTTGATATTAATGTATATATTGATGGTGTAGGTTATATACCTGACATATTAGACTTTTTTCATACGGAAAATATACACATTTCATGTTTTTATTCAAATATACACATGCATACATACAAATACATGTATGGGTGTCTACATACATATTTATACAAAGAGTACCTTTCTCAATGGCAGTTAGCAAGTAGAATTAAACTCTGAAAAGTTAAAGGAGATAAAGCGCTGACATAAAATACTTTTAATTTAATATCAGTCCAGGAATTGTTCACTGACTTGAAACATTTGCTGCTTGGCTCAGCTAAATGTTACTTATCATAGCAGTATGCAGTTGCCTCTGTTGCTATATTTTAAATGTTCAGTTATTTGAAGCCATTTCCTGGTTTGAAATAAAAAATTATTTAAGAAATGGAGTCCAGCATTTCACCAGTATGTATGTTATTGTTTCAAAAACTGCACGAAGGAATATGTCAGAGGATTCACTAGAAGAAAAAAAAATATTTTGAAGAAAAAAATACTATGAGTGAAATTATATGTGTGCACATTAGAACTTAAGTTTTAATATGGGTGCATATGAAAAATGAACATATTAACAGTGTACCAGTGAAAAAAAATCTGAGAACTTAATAAATTCTCTGAAAAAATTGTGCTTTAACATGGAAATTGAGATGGTCTTGAATTGTTATTTATAGTTGATAAATACTTTTAAAGAGTTAATCTGTAAGACATGAAGTTAACATAGCAGAATGCAACAAGCAAATTATTGTACTACTGTTAATTCAATGTTAAGCAGCTTCACATGTCCCTCTGAAGCTGCAGTAAACGAGACATTGGATAGACAAACATCAGACCTACCACCAATATAATTATCTCTATAATTGCTGAAACATTCACATGGTTGGATTAGGACCATTCTCAGTGCTTTCCAATCAAATTTGTAAAACTGTGTGAAGAAAACAGAAGCTGAATGGCAAAGAAATAGAAATAAATCTTATTCTCATTCATTAACTGGAATGATCCAGTATCAGCCCCAAAGTCCAGTTTCAAGTTTTTAAAACACGTACCTGTTTTAGGCTTTTGCCCAGTTTCTCTCTGCAAATGTAATTGTATTGCTCTGAAATATGTATGGGTTTGTCCCATTTTTTTAATGTCTCACATGAAGGATATCTTGACTGCAACTGAAAGGTAGACTACTGTATTGCAGCAGAAATATTTTAAAGTACTGACCTCCTGAGAGCATTTTAAGAAGTGGGTAATGTGGTGCTCTTTCTACATTTTAATGTGGTCCTAAGCCTGTGTGTCTTTTTTCTCATCATTACCTTGTCACTTTGTCCCAGGCTTCTCTCTCCACGTTGCTGCCTGCAAACCCTGTTTTCTGTCTCACTGCCTTGGGTGGGTGCCATGTAGGGAAAGATAATTCAGGCTGTCTCAGCAGGTCTGGGTGTTAACATGATGAAGAATTCTTGAGAAGTGTGCAAGACCACTTGTATGACCTTCATTTTATACTATTCTATTTAATTTCCATACAAATGGCATAAAATATACCTCAGATGAGTTCAATAGTTAAAGCACATATCTTAGATCTCTAATTTAAGTTTTATGCACTTTCTTTCCCTTTTCCCATTCTCTTAGTTAATCTCATTGTCTTTTTTCCTCTGTTTTCTGGAAACTGTTTAATGATGCATCATTCCCCTTCCCCTTTTTTGTTACAGTATGTCACATGTTGCTAAAATATTTCAGTTTGTTTTTTTTTCTCTCAAGTTTACCATGCTTTTTTTATAATTTCATCTTCATCTGTGTTTCTTCTGCCTTGTCAGAGACACCCTGTGTAAATGTTTGTTGTTTAGACTGATTCAAAGAGCAGGCAGAAGAGGAAGAAAAGGGCCCTGAACACAGTCAAAATAAGACACTTCCAGGTGTGCTCCATTGCTTGGCTCAAGCATTGTTCAGAGCACAGTACAGAACACAAAAGCACATTTGTTGTGCCCTTTAAAAAAGCAAGAATAGACTAGACCTGTCATTTATTTTTTTGTATTTTTCATATAAGCACTATAAACTGTTCAGTCTGATCTGCTTGCTTTTCTTTGCAGCCTTGCTGTGTCCTGAAGGCTTTATCTTCCTCTGTTTCAAAAGACAGATACTTCTCACTTTTTCTCTGAATGGAGCAGAAAGCTAAAGTCCGTAGATATTTTGTACACTCTGGTATTTGTGATGCTTGCCTGGAACTGCTGGTGGTCAAATAGCAGGCAATCCTGTCATTAGAAACTCTAACAAACTGCTTCACAGTTCAATAGGATTGATTAGGTTTACATATGATGTTGTAAGTGTAATCAGGTCTGTAGTTGTACTGAATTCAAAGGAATTTGATAAAAACCTCTTATTTCTCGGTAAATAGCTGTGACTTCATTTGTCAAAGAAACAAAATGCATACTGTAGCTTATTTCTTTTACAGGTAAGGAGACAGTCACTGTTCTTCCAGGTTCTTCCTATTTCTCTAGCGATGAATCATTTGCAATGATAAGAGGGTATGTAACAACACAAACTCTGATCTTTTTGAAACAGGAAAAGAATAAACTGCGTCAGTGGCAGAACTCATTAGTATTTCTTCCAAATGTGGTTAGCATTTAACAACCTGTAAAATTATCATAGACTTAATCATTGATGGTTCACAGAGGGTTAAATCTAGCTATTGGAAATAAGAAACCACTGAACTAATAGATACCATGGTGATGCTTGTGCCTACCACCACCTGGCCATCTATAAACACATTTATAATGACATTTTAACAACTACTTTTTGGTCATTTCCAAGTATCTAATCTGTACTTGCACTCTGTATATTTTCTTTGCTCAGCTTGCAACTGTGATCCTCATTCCACCTCCTTAATGGAAATTCAACGTCTGCACCTGTTTTTTGTTTGTTTTTTGGAAAGGAGTTTGGATGCAAACAAACACTAAATCCTAATGGCTCTGAAAAGATAATGGGTGCATGTAAATACGTTAAGGAGTGCACTAAAAAGTACGAGTTCAGAGATGATTGACTGCACATGCAATTAACCAAACCAGACAAAAGTAGGAACATTTCTGAGGCTCAGTAGGCATAAAGAGAGACATTTGCATCAATGATACATCTAGGGGGAAAATAAACCCCAACTTCACGTGTGACAAACAGTTGCTGCCTTTGTCATATGCCACCATTTTAAAGTTGATGTAATGAGCATGAACAAAAGCTTATTAAGATTTGTGGGCTGTTACTTGAACATGATATGCTAATTTCACACTTTCTGTTACCAGAGGCCATGTTGATTTGACAATGCTTGGAGCTATGCAGGTGTCTAAGTACGGTGACCTAGCCAACTGGATGATTCCTGTAAGTAGGTTTTTGAACTACTGGCAGTGTACTGTGTCTAGTATAACATAAATGTAGCTGAAGACCAGGCAAAGGAAAAAAGGGCAGAAGTAGAATGGGTGTTGTGAAGCTAAAAGTAGTAAAATAGAGGATATGTGTATTTTTCCTGCCTACTGCTGGCACCAAGCAATCCATTATCAGAAGTCAGCCTTCTAAAATTATGCTTGTGCATTGTGAAAAGAAGAACATTATTTATATAAGCCTTTTTCCTGCCTTTTATGTCCATGCCTTTCAAATGTCTCTTGTTTTTGGCTGAGGATTGATGCTTTTTCTTGGCAGTAACACCTCTTGTGTGGTTGTACCTGGAGCAGTAAGTTGGGGGAAAGTGTAAAGCAGCATGTAGTTCATTATAAAATTATAAAAAGAGCCTGCATTATTTTTCTGTATTTCTGACAAAAGATTGTAGCACTGCTCTTTCAAATACATTAAGGAAAGAGCAATAATACTTGGTGTTTAGCGAAACAGAACTTCAGGTTTCAGTTACAGAAATATAAGCTAATTCCGGCATTATTTGAAGAGCTGATTACATTAAACCATTATTTGAACTTTATGTTTTAACATTAAACATTAGTGACTTTCATACTGTTGACAAATTTGATATTTTCAATGGCTTTCAATATGGTACTTTCAGATATGGTTTTTATCAGAGATGTCTAGAAGCAAACTTTCTTATTAGCCTTGTGTAAAGTAATGAGACATACTTCTGTCTGCCTGAGCAATGTTAAAGGCCTTGGGAAACTGAAAGGTGATTAGAGGAGGACAAAAACCCAAGTGAATGTCCTTGTCTCTTGGAGAAGCATTAGTTGAACCCAGAAGTCTCTGACTTCTGCAGCAGACCTTTGAGCATGGAAGTCATGGACCAGTGGCTGGAGCATAAGATGCTTTTATTGCGAGGGGACAGCATCTGACATGGGAGCTATACAAGCAGATGTGGGAGAAAGGGTTATGGGAAAGGCTAGTCCAGGTGTCTGTGTGAGTAATTGTGGGGAGTGAGAAGGGTTATGGCTGGCTGAAATACACCTTTCAAGAGCTGAACTATTGAAAGATGGAGATGGCATTTTGTACTGATAAAAAGATTCATTTACACATGCATTTCTTGAAACATTGAAGATAAGATTGATTGTAATCTTTCTCGAAATGGTGCAGATTTACATGTTCTTCCCTCAGTGCTTTATGTTCTCTAAAACACAGTGATTTTAGTTTTGCATTCATGTATATCAAAAAGATTTTTTTATATATCTGGTATTGCTTATTTTACCTATGAAGTTGCCTCTCAGTTCTGTTCAACCCCAAATTTATGAATAACAGGTATGTTTTCAAAACAGGAAATTATAAAATGCATCTTTCAATACTGTTTGACTTTTTGTTACCTTTGAGATGTACCTTGTTTTACATACTATAGCACACATCAGATGGATCCTCATGACTTTTTGCTACCATCATTTTCCATTCTTACTGATCTTTGGCTGTTTGGAAATTTGCTCTGCAGTGAGCTGTGTTTACTTGTGAGTAAATATGCCAATGACACTTCATAAATCCAACCAGGAGGCTTTCCAAGCAGCAAGAATTTCTCTTTGGTTACTTTTATGGAGGTCTGTTGGATGGATGATTCTTAATCTACTTTATTGATGTGTTACAGATTTTAAAAATGGGATTAACCAGCCCATAGATATACAGATCTTCCTGCTTTTCCTGTAAATAAGATGATATATTATTGTCAGGTAAATTTAATTATGGGCAAGATGTGTTTCTTTTTTAGTCACAAGATTTGTGTGTAGATGATACAAGGATTGACTTTGCTGAAAACTCATAGTGCAAGGAGACTTCGATCTGTATTTTATTCTAACATTTTTCACTTTTCATTTAGTTTTGGTTAAATATTTCTTATACACTGTAGCTTTTGGATTCTTGTATTGATGATATTTGCCATTATTTCAGAGGCAGCTAATAGCTCTATGTGTTTTGAACAAGTACCATTATGAAGCAGTCCTTTCTGTCCTATAAGAGCTTGATAACACTTGTGGCCTAGTGTGTGCATGTGTGTGTGTATGTGCACTTATTATTAGGAACAGAGCTGAGGAAGTGTCATTGCAGCAATTACAGCCTTTTCTTTGCTCTTATCTACTGACTTTTAATGGAGAGAAAAATCCCATGAGTAAAAGAAGAAGAGGGTGTGAATATTTTAAGCACATGCAGTAAACAATGCTGTTTGGTTAGGCAGAAGTCACTGCCTAAATACTGGCATTTATTGGTAATTTTATTCCATTAAGCACTACTACTTAATGGCTTTTTGTCTTCCTCACTTTGGTATTTCTCCAACTAACAAGAGGGTTTCTGAGGAGGGAAAGGAGAAGGAGGCAAGTTTCTGTGAATCCCCTGGGAACAGAATGCATCTGTGAGAAGCTGGCCAAGAGAGTTTGAAGAGAAACATGGAGGTCATGGTCGTGGAGTAGGTCAGATAGGCCAGAACACATAACCATGGCTGCTGGTTGCTATTGGATGGAGCCACATTTTATTTCATGAGTGCAGGACACTTGTAACCTGTGTGTCTCAGTTAATATCAGAAATTGCTGCCAGCAGGGCAGCTTCCCTGCATTTACAGAGCAGCACCATTAGTGGTCTCACATGTGGTTTTAAAAGCTGTGGGATTGACTGCACATATCCCTGCATGTACTTGCTTAGTTTCAGATCCTTTCAACTAGTGTCTTCTTGAAACCCTAAGAAAAGAGGCATTTATGAAACAGTTTCTGCTGCCCTTCTGCAAGGGCCAAGTTTACTACAAAGTACTGCAGCTGCAGCTTGCACAAAGTTGTGCTTTATTTTCCCCATCCTTACTAAGAAAACACAAGAAACTATGTTTATTTTTGTGACATGTATCAGAGGCTGGGAATAGGTCAAAACAAAACAGCAGAACTTCTGCCATGTTCCCTGTGACACCTCTGTATTTTTTAAAATGCATATTAATATGCATTTAATATGTCCTTTTGATATCCATTTCTGAACAACCCATAGCATTAAACAACCCTAATATGACTACTGATACAGCTGACACACTGTAGCAGCAGAAAAAGTATTGAAACAATAGTGGAGAGTCCCTGCAGTTAGAAGTTGATGAATCTGAAAGCACAAAATGGATGAAATATCCATGACATCAGATTTCACCAGGAAGAAACTTCTTACATGGGAAAAACATAACAATGCAGTAAATCATTAATGAGAAGGTAGCATACTCAGAAGGACTGGAAGGATGTAATAAGGTTATTTGAGAGTATTACAAGAGCTAAAGTCCAACTTAATTTGGCTACTGCCATAGAAGGCAGTAAATGTGCTTCTACTGATAACTAAAGAAGGGCTAAGGAAGTTGTCCATTCTGCACTGGGGGCAGGGGGAAACATAGTGATGAAAGACATGGAAAAGGCTGAAGGCTAATACCTTCTTTGCCTTAGTCTTATGGTCAGACCAGGTACTGAGCCCTCTGAGCTGGAAAACAAAGGACAGGGAGCAGTATAAAGCCTCCACATTTTGGGTGGAATGGTCACCAACCTGCCCCACTACTTGGACACACACAGTTCTGTGGGACCAGATGGGAGCCACTCCAAGGTACTGAGGGAACTGGTGAATGTTCTCACTGATACTTTCCATCATTTTCCAGCAGTCCTGGTTAACCTGGGAGGTACCAGGTGACTGGAGATTTGTAGGTGTGATGGCTGTCTACAGAAGGACCGGAAGGAGGATCCAGGGAATTGCAGATCTGTCAGCCTGATCTCAGTGTTAGGGAAGGTCACGGAATAGATCATCCTGAGTGCCATCATGCAGGGCATACAAGACAACCAGGGCATCAGACAGATGGCTTTGGGAAAGGCAGTTCCTCCTTGAGAACCTGATCTTCTTTAATGACAGGGTGTCCCACTTAGTGAACGGTGGAAAGGCTGTGTATGTTGTCTACCTGGACTTCAGTGAAGCTTTTGGCATAATTTCCCACAATGTTCCTCTGGACAAACTGCTGATGGCTTGGATGGGGGACAGTTGGCTGGGTAAGGAACTGGGTGGCTGGGTCCAGGGAGTGACGCTGAATGGAGTTACATCTATCTGTGACTGGTCACTGGTAGAGTTCCTCAAGTCTCAGTATTGGGGAGAGCCCTGATTAATATCTTTACTGATGATCTGGATGAGGGCATTGAATGCACCCTCAGTTTGCAGGTGACACCAAGCTGGGTGGAGTGTTGATTTGCTGGAGGGCAGGAAAGCTCTGCGGAGGGATCTGGACAGGCTGCATTGATGGACTGAAGCCAGTGGTGTGACGTTCAACAAGGCCAAGTGCTGGATGCTGTACTTGGGTGAGAACAACCCCAGGCCGTGCCACAGGCTGGGACGGAGTGGCTGAAAAGCTGTCTGGTTCAGGAAAGACTTTGCAGTGCTGGAGCATGTCCACAAAAGAGCAACAAAACTGGTAGAGGGTCTGGAGCACAAGGTTTGTGATGAGCAGCTAAGGGAGCTGGGGGTGTTTAACCTGGAGAAAAGGAGACTCAGGGAACATCTTACTGCTCTCTACAACTCTCTGAAAGGAGGCTCTAACTGTGTGGTGTCAGCCCCTTCTCCCAGCAACTGATAGTGCAAGATGAAACAGCCTCAAGGTTTTTCAGGACACGTTTAGATTGGATATTAGGAATGCTTTCCTCACCAAAAACATTGTCAACCATTGGACCAGATTCTCCAGGGAAGTGGTGGAGTCAGCAACCCTGGAGGTATTTGGAAGATGTGTAGATATAGCACTTAGTACCCACCATCAAAGAGGATTGAGGAGCGGTTAATAGATTAGATTTGTGTCAGTTCACAAGGGCAGACAGAATGCATCCAAAGGTGCAAAAGAAGCTGGCCATTTCCTAAGGTAGCAGGCTCAAAGCCCAGTGTCTAGAAGTTAGCAAGCAGCAGCCTCAGAGATGATACAGGACCTGACACTA